GATCCCATCATGCCATGTCTCTAGACATTATTCCAAGAGTGATATTCTCAGAAGTACTGTCTGCTTTATTTGCAGTTAGTTATAGGGATTTCCTGTGTGATTCTATTGCACTTAGACTAATTCAGTCACTTAGTGTGCTGTCCAGGTCTCATCTGTTGACATTGGAGCATGTGTCAAAAGCCAGACACATCCACACAGCCACCAAGCAGCAGCATATGTCCAGCTACTCCTTGAAAAGACGTTGAGTAAATCATAGAATCACAAAGGTTGGAAAAGATCTCTAAGATCATCTAGTCCCTCCATCAATCCTGCTAAGAGGTCTTAGATAATCCTGCCTGCTAAGAGATATCACTCAATGCCCCATCTACACTTTTCTCCAAAATTTCCATGGGCGGTCACTCCACAACTTCTCTGATCAGCCTATTTTGATACTCCACCACTTTTTCTGAGAAGAAATTTTTCCTAACATCCAACCCAAACCTCCCCTGGAGCCACTTGAAGCCATTACCTTTCCTCCTATTACTAGTTATCTGGGAAGAGAGGCTGACTCCCACCTTGCTACAACCTTCTTTCAGGTCGCTCTATAAAGCAATCTGGTCTCCCCTGAGCTTCTCTTCTCTCCAAGCTTTACAAAAGCATCAGAACATTTACCAAGCATGACCCTAAGGGAGCCAAAGGAAGGCAATTACAGAAATAGCTCTGAAAGACTGTTCCAAGCAGTCTTAACAAAACTTGGTTCTACTCAAGTGATAATCTGTATAGCAGCATAGTTAAGTAATCAAGCATGACCTACAGTATTAAAATAATCCCCAGTATCAATCTTTCTCTTTTTTGCTAACTTTTCATCAAGTTATCTAGCTATTAAATACTTCATCAATTTCCTTTGTTTTCTTATGTTAGCTAGAATTTTTGAAAGTCTATAGAGGAGCCTTTAAGATGTGCCTAGTAAATTAAATCCAATTTCTCAGGAAATACAGTGTTTCAGATTTAATAACTTGAAATAAAAATAATCAAAAATGTTCAAGTTTTAAACTCAAATTGTTCTAGTTTCCTACAAAGTTTTGGTGGGAGACATTTTTCTGGTTGTTTAAATCAGAGAAAATTTCTCAAGAATTAACAATTTTAAAAGTACTTCTTAGGCATCTATCTTCAAACACTGGGACATCAGTATGATTTATTAAACTGATTGGTCATTTTAAATAAGGACAACACAAGTAGGAACACTGTCGACCTGAGTTACGGCAAGCAAAACAAGAATATAAAACAAGGTAATGCGACATTAAAAATAAGGTAATATAACACTAAAAAATCACTGTTTGGGTGTGAGGTTTTGAGTTTTTTGTTTTTGTTTTTTTTAACTTGAAACAAAAAACTCTATTCACAGTAAATTATCTAGACGAAATTCCATCTTTGTCTTTGAGTAGCAGAGTCAACTCCATGAAATTTGCAGTACACATTTTTGTTCTATTAATCAATATCTACTTTGATAGTAGAAAGCTACTATGAAAGAATAATTGCTACTGCCTATGTATATGAAATAGATTCTCTAACAATCCTGCCCTGACTTTCAGCTCATAATAGCCTACAAGGCTATTACAGACAGCCTAAATACATACATCACATGATTGCACGCATGACTGAAAGATTTATATGCTGCAAGGCAAAAAAAAAACTTTGGACATAATCTATTTCATTACTTACACACTAATTATATAATTATTCTACCCCTGATAGTATCTATACAAAGGAGAGTAAATGAATACACAATACATCCAGATTGAAGAAGTTTACCCTAAAAAACACTATTCTTCATGACTGCAAATTCCCAATATGCACTCCTGTAAATTGCCAAGTTCCTCCAATTTCAATATACATTTCACATAAAATACTGGTTCAACATCTCCCTCTTGTCTGGTAACAAGTATTAATATTCATCCACTAGTAGGTGCCAGAAATGTAAATACCTTAAGTAAAATTAAAACCTATTCAAGACACCACTTATTCTTTCAATGGCGCAGGATTACAGCTGGGACCATTTCAATTGAAAACCAGCTCTGAATCACAATGGCCGTTCTTCCAAATTCCTGTTCCTCAAGCTAAAATTTCTAAAAGCCCAAGCTGGAAATAATGACAAGCTTGAGACCAATTTCCTCAGTAAGAACACAATTGAAATCTTGAGAGCTTCCTCATGCTGAACATTCATAAGTAGTTTTGTTTGATACCAATAGATACTACCACATTTAATCCATGCAAATATCTGGCAAACTTCTACCACATGCTGTTACCTAAATCTAAAAGCAGTGCAATTACTTTACTATATATTCAATTGAGTCATTAAAAAAAAGCTCTTTCTGACACAAAAAGTTTCCAAATAAAGTATTTGATTCATGTGCAAGTTTGCTTCTCCAAAAACAAACAGCCTTCACTAATTGATTATATTTCCCGAAATGTTTTACAAACAAAAATATTAACTTGCATTATGGCAGTACAGTTAGAAACCAATATCAGATTACAAGCCTGAAGTGGAACGTCCATATTCAGGATGTCTAACAGTAGTATAAAATACAGGAAAGTAATAAACAGACCAAGGAAGCAGAAGGGGAAATGAAGAGAGAGAACAGACTGGCATTTTCACACAACTTTAATATGTGCCTGATTACACTATGTGACAAGCTATATATACTTACCTTTTGCCAGAGTGTTCTGCTTTTTCATTTTGAGAAAAATACAAAAATTTTAAAAAATAATTAAAAAAAAAAGCTGTCCAGACTGAATAAACAAGACCACACACAGCCAACTCCTGCTTCCCCAAAAAATACATAGGCTCAGGAAAAATACAAAGTCATCCAAGGTGATAAAAACTTAATCCCATAGGGTATCACAAATACACTCCACAAAAATGATCATTATTTTTATTACCTCAAGATAGACTTCTGGTTTGAAATCATTCCATTGTAACAACTAAAACAACTAACTCTCTGCACAAGATATTTGCTTAAATTGAGATAAATTATTCTGCTTTTTATCTTTCTATAATATAATGTTCATTTCAAAAGCATTATTTAAACATTTCAGTCATTACCAGAAACCTACACCAGGCACAGAATTTGCTCCTATTTTTTTTTTTTTTTTTTTTTGTCAGATATAGCATCATATTACTAATGGATAGAAAACAAAACACAGAGGTTGCTAGCAAATGTCAGAAGGTTCATGGTAGAAATATGTCATATTGAATTTGCATTTTATATGAACACATACCAGTCATTACTGACAGTAGTTAGGGGATTTAGTTGCTTTTCTATTTTCTTATTGCTTTTGTGCCAGCCAAAATGATTTCTCTAGGCCAGCAACTGTTTCTTACTATATTACTGCCTGTATGAAAGAAGCTGCTGAGATTTTCCCAAAATGAAAAAGGCTTTCTTTTTCATTTGGTTTTCAAACATAAGTTATGAAACTGTTCAAGACTTGGGTATCAGAACAATGTATGGAATAACTCCAACTAAAAAGGAAGAACTGTCTGATATCACCTGAAACCAGTAAATAGCTATATGGCAAAATGTAAAATCACTGAATAAGTGAATGCTTTGCCATTCATACACACTAATTTTGTAGTTACTGTAAAAATGGCCAACCAGTTTAATTTTGAAAGAAGAGACCAAATGCACCAAAACATTGGCAAGAGCAAGGACTGACGTACAAGAAATCTAAATACATGGGCACAAAACATCAGAGCAATTTTTAGTTTATCTTTATTGCATTACAGAACACAGAGGGATCATACTCTGCCAGAGGACAGAATAAGTTGATCCTAAGTACTTAATCAGATTTTATTTATAAACATAGGCTATAGACCTCCATGGACTAATTCTTGTCTGAACTAAAGTATATGAATTTTACAGAAATCACACACAATATTGATTCACCATTTGTGATGGAGAATCCACAACCCTTCAGCAATTTTTACCACAAAAGGCAGTTACAAGCTTCTTTTCCAATTCAATGCTATCTAATTTCCAATTTTCACTTATTTGGCTACCCATAGCCAAGGAAATGGCAATTATCGAGTGTACTTGTTCACCATGTTTTCGTTTAGAGACTGCAAACACATCACCCATTAAAACATCTTTATTTTTCGTATTATCTGAACAAGAGATAGCAACATGCCTACAGATCCTTTTCACTGACATTATAATATCTTCCACTAAGGGGGAGTCGACTACTTTTAACTTCCAAACTCAGCTCCAGGAGATGAAAAAAGGAGAAATTTGCAATCCAGTATTAAAACACAGTTTATATTTATGAAGTACAGAAATACAGAAAATACTTCTACATAGCTGAAGATTTTACATGGAATGCCTAAGATATTTGCTTTATCCCTACTGCTATCCAATAGAATGGGGAAATCATTATTCAATCTTAGGGTGAGCAGAGACAGAGGGAAGATTCCAGTTTGTCATGAAAAAAAAAAAAAGAGAGAGAATAAAAACAAAGATTCCAGAAAACAATTCAGTAAAATACATCCAAATATCCTCTGCACTGTCATGTTGAAACTAGTTATTTATTAAAGCCAAATGTTTGCAGTAAAAAAACAACATGTTGTGTGAAATAAATGTGCTAACAATGGCAGCTAACAAGGACTGTAGACTGAAAAGGGCATGGTAGAAAGATATAACATTCTCTACAATGAATCATAATCCATTTCTAAAAATTGCTGCCTTCTCTAAAAATGTAAACACGAGTTACTCTTTGCCTTATAGGCACACTTTCAAAGTAGCTGTTTTTTGGAAAAAAAAAAAAAGAAAAAACCTCTTCAATTAGATACAGGGAGTACACTTCCAAATTAGCTTCTGCAGCGTATCAGCTATACATATTAACATTTTAGTAGAAATAGCAACAAGTAAGACAAGAGTAACACAATGATTGAGTTCTTCCATAAAGGCATCTTATGTACATAATACGTCGAAAAATCCCTAAGAAGCATCACTGGTGTTTTGTCTTACCATTGCAAGTTTATCTTGTAATTCTCTGTGAGTTTTTTCATTTTCCCGTAGTCTCTCCAACAGATCTTTAATCACCTCCTTCTTTTCCTCAATCTTCTCATTCATTTGCTTGTTTGTGGAGATATACTCTCTTTCTAATCTGGAAAATTTCAGCATTAAAACATTTATTCATTTCTTAATCAAAAATACTTTTGACAGCTATACTATGTACTTTTAAATATAACCAATAGATGTGACACATCTGATGTTTACACACTGTAGGGCTTCTGAAGTTGCATATTATATTTTTCAATGGAAAAAAGTTCTGTTTTCTTTCAAGAAGAGCTTTTTCACTAAGTGGTATGTTTTCCAGTTACTGATGCTTCTACTAGTCATAAATTTATTCGGTTATTTTAATATGCCCTTCAAATTATATGTAATAAACAGAATTCATTAAATTTTAATTAACACAGTAGCTCTCTTCAGAAATACCATGTCAAGTCTTACGTAATCAACCTTGTTTTTAAATACAAAGCTTCCTCCTAATATTTCCACATAGTTGACCATATTCTACTCTCAATGGCATGCCTTTAGAGTTTTCCACCAGCAGACTTTCTCGGAACTTCACAGAACCTACCAGAACTCTCTCTCTCTCATTGTATCCAGGAAACTAACATATATAAAGAGACTGGTTGGCTAAGCAACTCATGAAAGTTGCAGGACCCAACAGTGTGCAGGAAACAGAAGAGATGAGACAAAGCCTAGGAGGAATTTAGAAAGATTGCCAAGCACATCTGTATTGTGTCAGAAAAGCCAAAACTCACTTTGATTTGATGTTTGTCAAGGATGACCAGAACAAGAAGAATTTTTACGACTATGCTGTGGTAGGAAAAAGAAACGTGTGCCTGTTCTCTGTACAGGTGAGGTAATTTATCTACACGCTCAATGCCTTCTTTGCCTCAGACTTCACCAACAAGGCCTCCTAAGCCTCTGTGGTTAAGAAAGAGAACTGCTAAATGCAAACAGGAATTGAGTGAGCAATTACTTGTGAGGATAGAACCCACAGAAACAAAAGAGATAGTCTCATCTACATTCAATATTCAGGTGCTGACAGAGCTAGACAATCATAGAAAGGCTTCTTGCTATCATCTCTGAAATATGAGATCAGAGAGGTCCCTGGCACACCTATAGTCAGAGAAGGACAAAAGAACAAACAATGGGACTACAGACCAGTTAGTCTCACTTGTCTCAGAAAAATCAGGGAGCAATTATCTTAGAACTAGCTTCTGGGCTCCTGAAAGTGAGACAGATGACTGGGGAAAAAAATCAGAGGATTTATTAAGATTAAATCATGTCTGAACAACACAGTTACCCATAACAGAACAACAGGATCTGTGGACAAAAGGAAAGCAGTGAATAATACTTAATTCAACTTCAGCAAAGCTTTTGACACTGTCACACAGCATTATTACAGGCAAATTAGAACTTCACTGTCTAGATACATGGATTAACATGTAGATTAAAAAAAAAAAAAGGCTAGACAGTAAAGTTCAGAAGTTCAGATGGTAGTAGTGGGTAACTACTGTAGGATACTACAGAATTCTATACTAGAATCTGTTTAACATCAATTATCAATCACATGGATTAGGAAAAGAGTGCAATTGGATGGGAAGAGGCCACAACACAAAAAACGTATATGCTTAAGCGAAGAACATACACAGACATGAGGTACACACTAGTGTGAAGCTTCTGAAATACAACACTGACAAATACAAAGTCCAGGGTTTAGGAAGGAAGAGCCCCTTTGAAGCAATACAGCTGGTGACCAGGTGGAGAGCAGCTCTACTCAAAAAGGACCAGCTAGACAGCAAGCTAGCCACAAACAACTGAAACATGGTGGGATTACTCTTATGACCGGAATGTTGCAGTGGCTATAAGCTCTTCAGAAAAGTAAATTCACATGAAGAGCCAGATCTCTTGTTACTTACAATTTACATAGTGCTACTGGGTTCAGAGCTAATTAATAAATTATGCAACCCAGAAAAGTCTGTATGCTTGGAAACTGTTACTGATCTTTTTCTTTGAAAATCAGTTCTCACAGCTTTGTATAGCTTACACTTATCCCACATCAAGTCCAGCTAAAAAGACATACAAGTATTCTAGCACAATAAATGAAAGTCCCCAACAATTTCCAAAAACTGAAAGACAATCCTGGGATCCAGGCAAAGCAAAAATATGTTAGGATGCCAAATCATGGCTTATAAGAAAATATCAAGCTCCTCATCTTAAATTCAAGGACCACACCCTTCAAAGGTAAGAAGATCAAAGGTTCTTCTATTCTATCTGAAGGGATCCACTGAAAGTAATCACTGATACTCATCAGTATAACTGATAATTGTATGCTTCAACACATAAAAAGAGCAGGTAGATTGAAGAGACATTCACGCCCACTACATTCAAGTATCTAAAAGGAACTGAGTATACTGATAGTCCATTTGAAGTAAATTTTGACCTTCACTACCTACTTTTACAGACTAGGAGTTCAGAGAGACAGTATTCTAAGAATAGGTAGTTTCTGTTTCTCAAGCCTTTATTAAAACTACCAACTGATAAACTGTGTTAACTTTCACAGAGAGGTTAGCATTCTCTCATGTAGAAATGAGCTGCTCATATAGTACAAAGACAAGTTTTTGAGCTTGGATAGAAACAACAGGGGAGTAATTCCTGAAATTTCTAGAAGGAATGATAAATTGTACCTAGAGACTGCTGGAAAGCTAATGGCTCCTTGACTGATTACAGAAAGTTATGCTATGCGCCCATACTGAAGACAGGGAAAGCTTTTCTACACTGAAACGACTTTAGCTTAATAGACAATAGCCAAGAAAACTCAAAGCCCTGTGTTTCATTTGATGATGCTGAATTTAGCTGGTCTAGCCTCAAATACAAAGATGGACCTTGGAATATTCAGGTTTGGAATCACACAGAATCACAGAATGTCAGGGATTGGAAGGCACCTCCAAAGATCATGTAGTCTGATCTCTCTGCCAGAGCAGGAACACCTAGATTAGACCACACAGGAACGTGTTCAGGTGGGTTTTGAATATCTCCAGAGAAGGAAACCCTACAGTCTCTCTGGGCAATCTGCTCCAGTGTTTTGTTACCCTTACTGTGAAGAAGCTGTTTCTCATACTTATGTGGAACCTCCCATGTTCCAACTAGCACCCATTGCCCCTTGTTCTGTCATCGGATGTCACTGAGAAGAGCCTTCATGACACTCACTCTTTCCATATTTACAAATATTAACGAGAACAAGCTAAAGAGACCCAGCTTCCTCAGCCTCTCCTCATAAGAAAGAAGCTCCACTCCTTTAATCATCTTTTGACACTGCATTGGACTCACTCAAGCAGTTTCCTGTCCTTCTTGATCTGGGAGGGCCCCAGAACTGGACCTTGAATGGAAGAAACTGTCCAGGAATTAGCAGGGAAGGAAAAGATTTTATCTGTGAATTCATCTCCAAAACCATGAATTTTCTGTATTTTCTTCACCTACTCAACAGGGAAACCTACTGGGGGTAGGTTAGAACTTACATACATGATGAACACATGGAATGCAGGTCAGAAGTTGGATCGGAAAAGCTCCTGACCCGACAGACTTCAAACAAAGCTGCTTTGAATATGAAGTAGATTTTTAAAATTTATTTTAAACAACTCATATTGCTGGCACAGGCTTTCCTCACTTCAAGAAAATGCAAAGAACCTGGTATTGCCTTAATGCCATATACACTGCTACATAGAATTCATGCTTAGAGCAAAACAACAAGGCAAGACAAGTTTATAGTTAATTAAAAACCTCAAAATACACCCTGTCAGCTTCCTGGCTGTTTAAACTGCAGTATTCCCGAATAATGACACTGAGTTACAATCATAATGTATTTCACACATTCTCACCATTTTAACATGAAAATTAGTTTCTTTTCTTTGAAGAAAAAATTTGGGTTTTTTCTTTTTTTTTCTTTTCTTAATACAACTTTTTGTTTACCTAAACACACAATCTCACTTTCAGACTTCTTTTGGCCTAACTTTGATGAAGAGTTCCATTGTGTTAATAACACAGCAGATATTTCAAATGTGTTACTAAAAACATCTCTGAAACTGTGTATATAGAAAGGCCGAATTCAGTGCTCTGAAGTCCACAGAATTCTTTAACCCCACCACCATGGTAAGCCATCAACTTAAAGTCCTTCCAAACCTCTTCCTTCTCTAAATCTATTCCTCATTTTACTTAGTGCTTAGCTACCTATTTTACAACACCATTCTTCTTGTTTTCTTATCCCAAGATATATTTGATTCAGCCTAGGAAAAAAATACAGTACTGTGCATCCTTCTATCTGCATGGGAAGTATAACACAGCCATTCTTCCAAGAACCATCTGTTACCACAGACAAAGCAGATTCTAGTGAGTGGGAAAGGAATTCCAGTTAATTTTGTCTACTTCACACCTTTTCCTGTCCTTTTCTTACCAAGTCAAAACTTTCCAGGTTTATTCAAAAGCAGAAAATGAAGATTATTCAGCAGAAATAATAAACAATTCCTAGATAGAATCTTGAAGATCCACCTACTTCCATGAAAACTTCTCATCATAAGGTTGTATTTGTATAAAGAAATTTTAATTTTCTCCACCTTCCCCTAACATGTATGCTTACTAGTATGGACATCTTATTAATGGAACACCAGGTTTAAAACCTTTTTTAGATATGGCAAGGTATGTAGGATGGTACTGTTTTCTACTGATAGAAAACTATAGAACTGTAAGTGCTATTCCAGCTTCCTACAGCCAATTTGCAATGAATATAAAAGATAACTTACCTACTGACTTTTTCCAAGTTCTCTTGGGCTTTCTGTTTTTCTCTCTCATATGCATTTTCTACCTCTTTGAATTCCTTCCTGATCATCTCTAAGTCTGAAAGAGCTTCTGCTTGGCTGACTTTTTCCATTTGCAAAGCTCCTTCAAGTTCTCGAATTCTCATCTACCAAGTGATCAGGAAGCAATGAAGTTAGAAAAAAGTATCATGGTGTTTAACGCTGTTCCATTTTCTGTTTTAAGGACAATTATATTCCATTAAATCTAAATTATATTCCATTAAAGCTATCTTAATGCATTTATAGAAAAAGCGTTGAATATAGGTAGAAATGTATAGATAGTTCAAACACAGACAAATAGTAAGTTGAAAAAAAAAGCCTTTTAATGTTCTTCAATGGTGTATGAATTTTTCACCTTTTAGGCTTTAGGCACAGTTTTTCAGGTGAGTTCTATTGTTTAAGTTTGATACGTGGTTGCAAAGACTACAATTATTACTTTTGCTAAGAGGAAACCACACTTGAAAAGTCCACATATTCAAAAAGAGAAGGAAACTATCAGCTGCTCGTTTATAGAAGTCTGTAATTTTATGGAACACTGCCCTCTCAGTTCCACTGAATATGATGAAGTAGACAAAGAAAATGAAGAAAACCAAATCTCAACTTTTTACTACCTTAATGGTACCCTTAAATAAATAAAAAAATTAGAGCTTTTTCACAGAGAAGATCATTAAAATAAGAAAAGAAACTAACTCAAAAAATGGCATCATTTATTTTTGTTGCTCAGAACATAAAAAGAAAGAATACAAGTTTTACTGATTAAGTTTGTAAAATTTACATTGTAAAGTCTTATAAGAATATTGAAGAGCTGACTAGCACTAAGGAAACATCTCTTTTGGAGATTGCTCCTCTTGGAGTTTTCTCAGCGAGCCCAGAACAAGGGTAAGCTTTTCATCTATTCTTCTTTAGCATGATAATCTGTTTAGCCTATCTTTCCTCTATATTTCTTAATTATAGCACCTGTATATTCATTGATTACACAGTGTTGTAAGGTTCTATAGACTTATACACATTTGCATTCAACAGGGAGCTTCAGACTTGCTCTTTGTTTACAATGGCCTGCAGTAAATTGCAACCACCAGGTGTTTATTAGTCCGATCCCTGATTTTTTTTTTTTTTTTTTACTCACAAGCTCTCAACTTGATTATGACTACTTCTCAGAGGCAACATCCCTACCCATCCTTCCCTGCCCATCTCTTCTGAACAGCTTGTATACCTTAACTGTCATGCTCCAGTTATGCAATCTGTAACTGCTATCATGAAAATGTGATGGTAAGTCATAGTGTTCTAACTGCACTGTGGTTTCCAACTCCTTCAGCTTATGCTCACGCTGCATGCATTGGTGTTGAGACACTTCAGCTGGTCTACCAGCCTTGCTACCTTCTTCAAAGAGCTGTCCCAAGTTCCTCTGGAACAAATCTGAGATCTTTCCCTACTGCATCCTAAAGTGACAGTATTTCCCAGCTCTTCCCAGTCATATAGATATCCATTACTAAAATATTACATTTTCTCATATAATTAACATTTACTAGTAATTACTGATATTGTAATATTGTTTTAAGGTGAAATCTATTTGGAACAATCATATTTGGAACAGCAGTTTCAGCGTGCATTTATTGAGTACTCACTCCTGTAGAAGTCAGATGTATATACTGCATATCCACATAGTCCTACTAAGTGTCTATTCAAAAGACATAGGACAGGATATTTATACAGTACCATAGTGTTTAGCTCTAATTAAACGTTTCTTTTCCCTACGCTGTTTAAATATTAGAAGTTATTCTCTCATTCTTACAAATCTGAATAAATTATTAATATTCAAAAAAAAAAACCATTAAAAAGAATATTCCCCGAGAAACAGGTGTTTTTGATCTTCCCTTTATGTATTACAGTTTTGAAACTAAAATGCAAAAAAAAAAAAAAATCCAGTGTTTTTACTGGAGCATCTACAAGACTGTATCTTTATAACTTCAGGAAGTCATTTGATGTAAAGCTCCACAAAATACTTAACAAAAAGTTTACCTGTGTGATTTCCAAATTGAATTTGGATTTCAAATGTGCTGCTCTTTCTGCTTCAATGCTTTCTTCCAACTGCTTTATTCTGCCTGTTGCTGCCTAGAAGTACATTTTGAAGAAGTTTAAGTTCAGACAGATAGTAAACATGATATACAGATTCTTCTTATAACTCAGTATTTTAGGATTCCATATACCAACCCAGTATACCTGACTTGCACAGGAAACTATGATTATCCAAGAAATGATCTAAAGAACATATATCAAAATAATTCTTACAGAATTATTACATTATTACATTATTATTTTCTATTCTGTTAAGTAAACTGATTTAGCATTATGTTATCACTGCATTGTTTTAGAACTAAAAAAAACACTCTGGCTGGAATCAGAAAGTGAAAAAACTGAGCTTAAATATTCTACTGATTACCACGCTATTTGCTTTTACAAGGTTGTAACCTGAGGCAATACAATTCCATCCTAATTTTCCAAAAAAAAAATGAAATAACAATAGAGTATCTATAAAGTCAGTAATGAGATGACAAAATATTGAGAAGACTGAGAATTCCATAAACACACACTGTTTTTAGCATATAATTTCCAATTACAGTGCCAAGAATACACTGCTTTGCAGGCCTAAATCAGTGAGATTCACTATGTCAAAGATCTTTAAAAATAATGTTTCAAAGAGCTAACACAGTATTTGTATTGATTTCTAACTGTTCTGCAGGTTTTGTCTAGAAAAACGTCAGGATGCATATGATATTTTAACAAATATCCTGACTAATCAAATCAGTCACATTTCATTACAGAACAGAATATCTGTATATGCAAGCACAGTTTAAGCAACATGGGATTGTCTGAATTTGACCATTGAACCTCTGTTGTCCATTCTTCCAACATTTAAAGAATGCAAATGGCTATGTTAGAAAACTGTTCTGAGATCTGGATTGGCCACAAAGTGTTCAAAAAATAGGCTACTTCCTGACTTAGTTTTTTGGGGGAGCAGCAGGGTTTTTTTGGTTCGTTGTTCCTGTTATTTAAGGGATTTAGACTTCCAAATTATATTAAACACAAAAGCATTAACTAGACACATACAACCAGATAAAGGCATGGACACTGAATTTCATCTGAAAAATGTTCTTAGCTAAAGCAGTAACTAATATAATAATATTATAGCAGTATAGCAGTAACTGATATAATACAAACTCATACATGAATTTAACTACCCTGTTTTATACTAATAAAATATTTTCACTCTGATGGATGACAGAATTGATAACAAAAAAAACCAACCCAAATTGTCTCAGCATTTCAATTTAAATTAGGCACACCGAGAAAAATAAATTAGTATCAGAAAGTTGTTTAACATAAGCACATTTCAGGTTGCATAAATACAATCACAATTCTTGATTTTGGAAATGTAAAATAAATCAGTGAGACTGCATCTTGATTGCAAACATTTAAGAGAAGAAACTTTAACAGATATTAGAACAAAGGTTCTTGACAATAAATGTAATGTTCGTTTGTATAATCTCTCTCTCACATACACAAACAAAAAAAAGGAAAAATTATCAATACAGATGTTTGTCAGTGGCATACCAAAGAGAAAACCAGAAAAAGCACAGAACTTACCAAACCTACTCCACAGTAAGATATGCCAGAAGGCCTGAACTTTTCCTTTTCTCAGAAGTTTTATGTTTAACATACTTAAGGGAAAAAAAAATCCTGCACAAACTGTCCTCCTATACTTCCACATTTCTAAGACTGTCCTCAAAATTTTAAGTCTTGATTTAGTCTTAAAGGTCTTATTCCTTCCAAACATCAGCTTTAATGCAAAATTAACAAACTATCACCTGGATCAGTTTGTAATGACCTCCTTAGCATCCTTCAACAGATCAACAGCTGCCAACAGGATGGTTTTACAAATGAATACTGTCCTGCCAGCCTAAAAGTAGTCCATGAACAAAAAATCTTAGTAAGATTTCATGGTTTTCTTTGTACTAGTACTAAAACAGTCAGCTTTAATATAACTTTATTTAAGCTTGATTAGAAGAGTAAAGGGAAAGGTGAAGAAGGTACTTATCACAAGTCTTGTATTTAGAAATACAACAGCTTTAAAAAAAAACTGAAAATTTCAACAGGAACATTTCAAAATATAGACACAAGTGCAAAAATTACCTTCCATCTTTGGCTAGCTTGTACAAACATCTATTTTTATACCAAACACTAAAATGAAAAAATTGAAAATAGTAACTGCAAGGTTTTAATTACTTACTAATTCATAAGCTCTGCATCGCATTTGACTACTAATGTCAGATTTTCTGAGAACCAGTCAAACTGAGAACTCTGTTCTCTGCCTTTATCTTATTCTCCCCTCAAATGAAACAAGAAAATAACTTTCTGCTTGTTAGAAGACACCACCACAATCATTAATTTATTTCTGCAAATGAGTACCCCAGGGAACAAAGAGACAGTCCCAATAATAAAAAATAAAAATAGAATAAGTAACAGCTTTATTGAGGGTACCTGAAAGAATGAAAAAATGGACCAATCTTATTCTCTAAAACAGACTGCATATGTAGTTCTTAATACAGAACTTGAAAACTAGAGCACATATAAAGCTGACGTGATGGACACTTAACTGCAAGGGCAAAAGGCATGGTCCAGAGGAAACTTAAACTGCCAAAAATACAGAAATTCATTTCTAAAAAATTCTGAAGCAATGAGTAAGAAGTGCCAACACATCACTCTTTTGCTGTCTGAGAGCAGTTCCATTTAAAAAGGCACATTCACAGATCGTTAATCTACTTCAGTTGTCAGAAGTTACTGAAGAACTAACCTGTAGAACTAGCATGCCTACAAAAAGGAAGAACCGGGAAAACTAGTATTTAACTTGCAAGGTTAGGAACCTCAAATTCTCTTCTTCTTGAACTTCATCTTCTGTTTGACTTCTTAAAGTCTTGAGTCATACCAGTAATTTTTTACAACTTCAATTTTTAAAACCTTGTTTAAATTAGCTTGCTGGAACTTCAGAAACACAGACCTAGAGAGAACGAATATGTATTTTCTTTTGGCATAAGTCACTGTCAGGGTCCAGGCAAGAACTACTACTACTACTTTCTTAGACTGCTAGTAGCCGAAGACTGTTCTCCTCATGTCTTGAAAAATTCTTCAAGTAGATTTCAACCTTAGTTTACCAGAATAAGCAACTCTCTTGCACACAAAATTTCAGAAATTTAAGAGCTTGCAAAAAAATACAACAGTAAACTGGGGAAGTAATGAAGATGTCATCCTGTTTCTGGTACAGAAATGAATATTCTGTTTCTAGGGTTCTTTGATTTGGTTACTGCAGCTTCTGGTTCACCATATGGGCCTGATGGGAGGTGTGCCTGCCTGTGGCAAGGGCATTGCAACGAGATAATTTTCAGGGTCCCTTCCCACCCAAACCATTCAATGATATAACTACTATGGAGAGTTGAAAGGAGAGCTACAAGGATGGCGGAGGGTCTTGAGAGCAATATGTATGAACAGCTGAGATCCCTTGATTTGTTCAGCCTGGAGAAGAGAACAAGTGGAAGCCTCATCACAGCCTAGAGCTCCTTACAAGGGGAGGGAAGGGCAGCGCTGACCTCTGCTTTCTGGTGACGGAGACAGGATCCAAGAGAACAGCATGGAGCTGCATCAGGGAAGGGTCAGGTAAATTTGAACGAAATAAGATGTCAGTAAATTAGAAGAAAATTTGTGGGAAAACCAAAAACTGCAAGAGGTATTTAATCAGAAATTAGCATATAAGCCTGGCTAAACAACAGAAAGATCCATCAAATATCACATGTCAGTTAGATTACTATCTGGGACTGCTGTTTATCTAAGTATACATCAGCCGCAGAAACTGGAACTGGATTCCAAACTGAGACTAGAGAGAGGGAAAAAAAATAAAAAAAACCTCAAACACTTCATATAAATTTGTGTCTGTTTTCCTAGTGATGTCTCAAACAGGCTCTGCTAATCCTTATAAGCACTTCACTCCATAGTGCATACTGTTGTCATGCTGTAGCAGAGATAATGATCTACTGTGTATTCTGTGGGAGAAAGAAATGTCAGGGATGAGTCTAATCTGTAACACTACATTAAAAACTCCAGAACATAAACTGGGATGAAGAGAGGAGTTCCATATACCTTTCTGACAAACAGAAAGATGCAAATCTCATTTGAATCACGCAAGAGATAGCAGCCCTTTTTCTGCCTTTATATTCAAAAACTTTATACAATGCCTGTATACAAAGAAGATGCATGAAGACAAATTCTAGAGAAAACTTGTGGATCTCAGATATCCAGATTACAGTTCTCCAGTTGAAAGTTAAGCAGGAATATTTTCCATTTTAGCATGGACTATTTCTTTTTAGTAATATATTGCTAGGACAGACTGAAATAACGAGTTCTCCGGTGAAGCTTTTTTCTTATGCAGCACTGGTAACATTGGTTATTCAGTAATGACAGAGCTCACCTATGATGTCCATGTTCACTTGACACACAGCAGATCTGAAGACAGACAAGAACGGTACTACACTGAACTCACGGAATTTTCAGTTTCCTCAGATACTCAAGCTGAACAAACATAAGTCTCAATTTAAAGAACACAGATCTCATGTCTATTTTCATGACAGCACAGATAGAATTGTGTCTTTTTAGAAAGAGCAAAGAAAAATGGCTAAGGAAACTTCTGTGCAGGCTTTAACTTGTAGGCAGTGACGCTATACGATTAGACTAAGCCCTTACTATTCAGACACTTTTTCCATTATCCTTTTATATGTAAATGCTAATGAGGTTTCTAGGAGATATTTTCCATATGCTAACAGTTTTCAGTACCATTTTCCAAAGCGTCTGTTTGGCTTCCATGTTTCTCAGTTCTTCATCCTTACTGTAAGTACTGCAGTATGTGTGAAACTAAATTACTCCTTCAGAATGTACTGCCAATATCCTGTATGTGTGCAATGCCACAGCTACTTAATTGAATCCTCTGACATTTGCACTCAGATCAAAACCTTCAGCAAACAATAAAGAAGAGGAAAAAAAAAGTACATTTCCAATAATTACCAATT